TTCTGCCGCCGCGCACTGTCTCCAGCCGGGCGCGCCGCTAGCCACGTGTACCTACTCCGGGCTCCCGGTCCTCACGTGGCCCCAGCATCGGCGGAAACTTGCTGTGCTTCCAGCTCTCGGAGTGCCCACAGCGCGGAGCTCCGTTCCCATGGCGACCCTGGTGTTGGAGGATGGGTTGGTCCTGCGGGGCCAGCCCTTTGGGGCAGCTGTGTCGACTGCCGGGGAAGTGGGTAAGCAAGCCCGGTCCGGCTGCCGATCTCGTCCCACTCTCTGCCGCCCTTCTCTGCCCGGTCTGCCCTGGCCAGACCCCGCCATTTTCCCGCCGACACAACCCCACCCCCACCCCCCCTTCGGCGCCCAAGTGCCCAGCCCAGCCCCCTCCATCTCACGGTCACTAGGGCATTCTCGCGGAGTGGGGCAGTGTGCCCACGGGGGCCCTCCTGAGCCCCAGCCCTGCCTCTTTCTTGCAGTGTTTCAAACCGGCATGGTCGGCTACCCCGAAGCCCTCACAGACCCATCCTACAAGGCACAGATCTTAGTGCTGACATATCCTCTGATCGGCAACTATGGCATCCCCCCAGATGAAGCGGATGAGTTCGGTCTCAGCAAGGTAACCACACCCAGTGCCTAGGGGCAGTATTTCTCGAACTTGTTTTGTCCTGATTCCAGGCTTCCTGAGCCTCAGTTCTTCATTTGCCTTCCACTTGGGAGAGGGAACTCTAGGTGAGGGGCATGTTATTCCTCCAAAGGACCCCGTCTCATCACAAGCCTATGAATACACTGCATTCTAGTATCTTGGTTAACATGTCAATCTCCAGTTTTGTCAACTGTAAACACACTCACAAAATTGATTGTATAAACCTGCAAAATTGAGGCCCTGACAGAAGCAGGGTAAGGCCTCCTAGAGCCACCGGGTGACCACGGATGCTTTTCAGTCACATGTGTTGTGAACACACTTGTCCATGTGCAGACTGGTCTTCCTGGACACTCAGGGTTCTGCCAAACTATCCTTCAAATCCCTAAGTAACAAGCTCCATACCCATCTTTCTTTAAAAAACTTCCACTAAGCAGAGGTAATTTGAATATGCAACTCCCTCCCACATAAATGACCCGTTTCTCTAGTTATTACATGCTTATCTGTTAGATAACACATTTCTGTTATCTTTTATGTATATAATCAATCCCCTGTGAAGGAGGAGGGTATAATCATGCCTAGGTATATTCCCTGAACCTTTATCTTTATTTAGTAAGGTATTGTGCACCCACCTGTTTTACACTATTTTTATCACACTGTGTAATTGTAATCTTGTTTATTTACATGTTACCTTGTTAATTTTCATGCCCCTAAGTAACAAATTAACATTGTGACCATACGGACCTTGTCTTTTTTCATGCTCACTGCCCCTCCCCCAGCTCTCAGTAAATGTTTATTGGCTACTATCATGTATCAGTCACCTTGTTCTTGAGTTCACAGTTCTGTGAAAAAGACACAAACTTGTTTTTTTTGTTTGTTTGTTTTTTAAATGTATTTTTATTGATTTCAGAGAGGAAGGGAGAGGGAGAGAGAGATAGAAACATCAATGATGAGAGACAATCATTGATCAGCTGCCTCCTGCACGCCCCCCACTGGGGATTGAGCCCACAACCCAGGCATGTGCCCTGACTGAGAATCGAACCGTGACCTCCTGGTTCATAGGTGGATGCTCGACCATGAGCTACTCCGGCCGGGCCACAAACTTGTTTTGTCCTGATTCCAGACTTCCTGAGCCTCAGTTCTTAATTTGCCTTCCACTTGGGAGAGGGAACTCTAAGTGAGGGGCATGTTATTCCTCCAAAGGACCATGTCTCATCACAAACCTATAAACACACTGCATTCTAGTTTTCAAGGCAGTATCTTGGTTAACATGTCCATCATCAGCTTTGTCAACTGTAAACACACTGACAACATTGATTTTATAAACCTGCAAAATTGAGGTTTTATGTAAAAACAGTGGAAATGATGTGAGCCTACTGAGCTCTAAGGAGGAGGCACAAGCTGCAGTGGGTGACTGGGGGTCGCTTCACAGAAAAGGGGATTTGTGATCTCAGTTTTGGGTAAAGGAAAAGGAAGGAAAAAGGAAAATATCATTTTCAATTTTTTAAAAAATGTATTTTTATTGATTTCAGAGAGGAAGGGGGGGAGAGAGAGAGAGAGAGAAACATCAATGATGAGAGAGAATCATTATTTGGCTGCCTCCTGCACGCCCCCTATTGGGGATTGAGCCCACAACCCAGGCATGTTCCCTTGAGCGGAATTGAACCTGGGACCCTTCAGTTGCAGACCCACGCTCTATCCACTGAGCCAAACAAGCTAGGGCTCATTTTCAATTATTAATCAGGCACCTTGGGCCCATGTGTTCAGTGTTTCATATGGGGGGTAGCACTGCTGGTAAAGGGCAAAAGCATGAGGGGCTTGGTGTGTTTAAGGAGTGATAGGTCATTCAGTGTGGCTGAAGCACGGGGTTCATGCCACACAATGGGAAAAGATGACACAGCGAGTTATAAGGCCCTGGGCTCCTCATGATCTCTTCCTTCCATCAACAGTGGTTTGAATCCTCGGGGATCCATGTGGCAGGATTGGTGGTGGGAGAGTGCTGCCCCACCCCTAGCCACTGGAGTTCCGTCCGCACCCTTCACGAGTGGCTGCAGCAGCATGGCATACCTGGCCTGCAAGGTATAGTGCAAGCACAAGTGTGGTTGGGCAGAGGACTGGTGCCTCGATGGGAAGAATCAAGAGAAGATCTCTGTGCACTATTGGGACTTGAGTTCAAGGCTGTGATAGAAAGAATCTGATTTGAATGTTAGATTGGGGTCTGGAGCAAGGAACTGAGCTCTTGCTCACATGGAAAATTTCAAACATACAAAAGGAAAGAATAGCGTATAATTAACCCCCAGCTTCCATAGCCACCAACTCAGGGCTAAACTTATTTCATCACCATTACTGTAACCCCCAGATTATTATTATTTTTTAATATATGCTTTATTGATTTCAGAGAAGAAAGAAGAGGGGGAGAGAGATAGAAACATCAATGATGAGAGAGAATCATTGGTTGGCTGCCTCTTGCACACTCCCCCGTGGGGATGCAACTCGGGCATGTGCCCTGACCGGGAATCAAACTATGACCTCCTGGTTCAATCACTGAGGCAAGCCAGTTGGGGACCCCCGGATTTTTTTTTTTTTTTTGGTTTAACGAGAGTTTTATTAGGGTCTCCATACAAATAAGTCAGGTCATAGTTGGGGCAGGAAGCACATACAACTCAAAAGCCGAACTGAAAAGTTTAGTGAAGGGACTAACTACTCCAAGGAGAGAGCAGGTTCATGAAACCTAACAGGAGATGGCACAGAGCCCTGAGAATAGCAGTACAACGTTCTAGCGGCAAACAGTTACCAGAAGCCAAAGAGAGAACCTGCAAGAAAGGGGTCCCTGATGGGAGCATGGCCACAAGTCACCCCCGGATTTTTTAAAGCTTATCTCAGACATTGTATCATTTATCCATAAATATTTAAGTATCTGTGAAAAAGGAATCCTTTTAAAACATGACCGCAATAACAGCATACATTTTAAAAAGTAACAGTAATTCCTTAATATCAAATATCCAGTCAAGGTTTAAAATTTTCCCAGTTAGCTAAGTTATTTTTTCATTGTTTCTTTGAATGTTTCGAATCTGAATCTAAACAAGATGGATACATTGCATTTGATTATATCTTTTTAATCTATGGGCCTTGTAACCTATTTGACAGAAACAGGTCAGTTTTTCTTTGGAGTATCCCAGTCTGCATTTTGTCGATTACATTCCCATTGTATCATTTAGCATGTTCTTTTTCTATAAACAGATAAATCTTGATCGTATTTTCTGTAAACAAATAGATCTGGAATCATGGTACAGTTCAGATGTGAGATTCTTGGCGAGAATACTGGCTGGTAGTGTGATTCCATCAGGGTGGCTTAGGACTTTGATGCCCATAGACCAGCTGTGTGTGACTGGGCTCTGGGATGGAAGCTCTCGGGGAAGCCTTAACCTCACGCACGACTGAGCTGGGGGAGGGGAGCTCTCAGAGTGTGCTGCTTTGACAGGAGTGGACACGCGGGAGCTGACTAAGAAGTTGCGAGAGCAGGGGTCTCTGCTGGGGAAGCTGGTCCAGGATGGGACAGATCCTTCAGCCCTGCCATTCTTGGACCCCAATGCCCGCCCCCTGGTGCCGGAGGTCTCCATTAAGGTACAGTGGGCGAGTGGGCGAGTGTTGCAAGCTGTAGCACAGTAATTACAGTCTGTCCATAACCATGGGGAGCACTTGAGGTAGTCAGAAGAGGCCTCAAAGTGAGGGGGTTGGTGTGTGCCTATCTATACCCACTGGTCACAGCTGTCAGCCGTTGCCCTTTCTTTCTCAGGCTGCACAGGTATTCAATGCAGGGGGTACCCCTCGCATTCTGGCTTTGGACTGTGGCCTGAAGTATAATCAGATCCGATGCTTGTGCCAGCGTGGGGCCGAGGTCACTGTGGTCCCCTGGGACCATGCACTGGACAGCCACGGTGAGTAGCTGGGGTCTGTGTAGGACCACAGACACACGGTACGTGTGGAAGATCTGTCCCTTGGTCTAATGGCTAAAGCCAACATGAGTTGCAGGGAAGACAATGGAGATAAGGGCTTGTGCTCTAATGGTAAGGCTGCAAGTGTGTCTCTAGTTGGAGACT